AAAAAAAAAAAAAAAAAACATTTACTCGAAACATTAATCTAGAAAACTGTTACATTCCGTTATACCAAAAACAATTTATATCGAATCACTAATACCTTGCTCCCTATTACCGATCCACCTAACCCACCCCCTAAACTCAATTCAAAGACAGACAGACCTACACCTACACGATCGTCCAAGGGTCTCCAGATCGCCTCCTTGCGTCTATTCACCGTCTAACTCTAAACTCTATCCGTCGCTAATTTGGCCCCGGCCAGTCCACCAATTTCCGTCTCCAAATTACCGAATCTAAATCTAAATCTCGCGATCGACCTTAGCCGAGAGGCGGTCTGTGACGGATTACATAATCGAACATAAGGCGCAATAATCGAGCGCGATTATATCGAGCGTGGATTATTGTTGTGTGCGCGTGTTGTAATCGCCACGCTCTCTCAATCCATCAATCGGTTGCAGGGAAGGGGAAAGAAGAAGAAGAAGAAGAAGAAGAAGAAGAAGAAGAAGAAGAAGAACTCCGATTATCTTCGTCTTGTGGCGAAGCGGAGGTTGCGAGGTCAGCGCCTTAATTCAGCGTCCAAAATCAGACGATATTCCACAGATTGGCCTTTTATCGAAAAATTTCGATTCGAGATCGGAGTCACTTCGTCTCCGTTCTCGACGAATTCGTGGATTCGTGGATTCGGTCAATTCGTGATGGAAATAATTTTTTATATCGAGGTAATTTTCTTGGTGCTCGATTTTATTCGAAAGTCTTCGTTTCTTTGAAAAAGAAAAAAAAGGAAGAAAAAAATAAAAAGAAATCTGCTGATTCAGAGAAACGTAGATTTAGAGGTCATAGAGGTTCGAGCTGCCAGATGTGATCGTTTTGATCGAACGATAAATAAATATTTATATTTGTGTCAAAGAAGAATTGGAAACGATCGATCAATCGTTTCAACTATGAACAGAGGTTGTAATAGAATGAAGTTTAGAATTATTCCAATTAAAGTAGAAGAGGGATGGGATTAAGTCGGGACGGGATAAAAGCGCTTGAAGTAATTGCAATTTTTCTAATTGTTATTTCTAATTGTAATCCTCGTATATTTTGTATAGTTTAATAGAAATAATAATATGTACATGTGTAATTTTTTTTTTATTGTGCGGGAACAATTGAATAAGATCGGAAACTGATTGAAGATAGATCGAATTAAGATCAGCCTCTATAGAATTTACAATGATCGTGACGCAATAGATTTGAAGAATTCTAGAAGAATAGAAATATTATTCTCTTACTTCTTTATACTCTCTTAAAAGTAAAAAATTTCTGAGAGCAGAAATATTTCTTTTCTTTTTTTTTTTTTGCAGATAAAAACAAAAAGAAAGGAAAAATTATAGTTATGAATCGCAATGTTATCTGTCTTTTGTGTGTAGGAGAATAATATATAATTATATCTGATTTTAGGAAGCAGTCACGGTATAAATATCACGAATATGTCCGGAAATGAAGCGATTTCAAAGATCGGTTTCTCAGATTAAAAAAAAAAGAAGAAAAGAAAAAGAAGTTGCAAATTGGAAAATTATACAATTCATTTATTTTTCATTTACGCACAAAATACTTCGTCTACTAATTGGTATTGTCTATGATATCAGATTAATCTTTTCTATCTAATATATATATATCTAAAATGTATTTAAGTGAAAATCATAATATTTTGTTCTTTCTCTGTTCCTTTGTGTTTCATATTTCAAGATTTTATTACACTATTACTATATATTTAGCATAATCGTGTGAGAGTTTATAATCCACCACTCTAACTATAGTTTACTTTATAGCATATTCTATTTCAACCTCGTGCTACCATGTTAGCATCTTTATTGCAATAGATATATATCTAAAGGAATCTATTGTTAGTCCTCGCCACTTATTTCCAATATGCATCGTTAAAACCTTAAACAAGATTTAATAACTCGTTTCAAATTATTATCAGATTATTTTATATAAATTCATCGTCTATAATTTCATCATTTAACATTTTTTCTTTTTCTTTTTCTTTTTTTTTTTTTTTTTTTTTACATCCTTCAACGTTACGATTTCAAAATAAAGGGATTCCGATTCGAATGTTTGTTCAAAAAATTCATATCGAAACAAAAATTTACGCATAATAACGTTTGGAATTAAATTCAAATAAAAATTCGTTCCAATATAATAAAGAAAAAAAAAAAATAAAATCTCGTCCCATTTCCAAAAGATTTTATTTCCTCGTTTTTACAAACCGGATATCGATCGACGCGTCTCGTCACAAGTTAAATTCCTTGTTTAACGAATGTACGCGTAAACAGCTAGTTTTTTTCTCGCGAGAAACGCGTGCACGCCTTGAGCCTCGTGCGATGATTGGCCACGGGGAACACGTGCTTCCTCACGAGTTCGCCGCAGCCAATGTCACATGTGCTCGCATTAGATAAAGGATCATCGTGCGTCGCATTTAAAATCCTAATTGAAGGTAATATCTATCGCGATTCAAGTAAAATTATTTAAAATAATTTCTCGAATTTGCAATATATCATTTATTGCATTCGAATAATTTGGATAAACGAGACGAGAAAAAGAGGGAGAACTGTATTGTACGTACGTACAATATATTTTCCTTTTTCGTAAATAAATAAGGACGATTTCTTTCCCTTGATTTAATTAAAGAGTAAGTTTAGAGCTAGTGGAGTGAGAAGATTTAGGATGAGGAGATTGTGGTCGAAAGTCCATAGCACCTCATTGATCCCGGACTCGAGATAATCGTGGTTACGCCGAATTTCGTCTCGGTTTGTGCGTATTTTGACGGCGTTTGACACAAGAGAGCCGCTATTTTTACGCGGATCATCCGTTTTTAGCGTCGAACCTCTAAATATTCTCTCTACGATCGGCCATTCTTATTCGCCTCGGCGTGTATACTGGCCGAGGAATCGGATTCTTTTCTTCTTCTTTTTTCTTTTTCTTTTTCTTTTTCTTTTTCTTTTTCTTGAAATGGAGAATCGATTGCGTAAACGTATACATCGGTTCGTTTGAATATCCTTCGTTTTAGCCTTTGCCTCTTCAGATAAGATATACGTAGCAAAAGACGTAGCAGTACGTCAGAGAATGAAATTTCGGGACGCGTTATTACGTCTCGAAATTTTAAAGTTTTAAATGAAAAAGTTACGTGAACAAGTAATAATAATAATAATAATATTCATAATAATGAAAACGTAAAAAGAAAAAAAATTCAATTATGAAATAATGTACAAAGGGTGAAACGAAGAGTGAGATATAATAAAAAAAAGAAAAAGCACGTACATACGATGATTAAATTAAATATTCGATTAAAAAAAAAAGAAAGTAAAAATATAAAGTTTTAAGCGAGTATTGCAAACTCGATAATTCCGAATCATTACATAATTAATGATATCAGTTACATACGTATATATTTTGATGAACGAAAAATTACTGTTGAATGAACAAATTATTAATCTTATCGATTTTCTGCCACGAAATGAAAAT